ACGTTTCCTAACCTAGCCTAACCTAACCTAGGCCTAACGATACACCAAATTCTAATATATAATAATATTAGCTTATATTTGAGAAAATACCAATTTTAAATACACAGGTCAGGGGCTCACCTGCCATTGCCATGGGCTCACCAAGGGCTGCTGTTGACATGGACTCAACACGAGCGACTGTGACTGAGCTCACCAGGAGCTGCTATGGATATGGGCACACCAAGAGAGACGGTGGCTAGGCTCACCAAGGGGCTACTGTAGCCATGTATTCACCAGTGACTGCTGTGGCTGGACTAAACTGCCTGCAATTAACGTGCATCGTTTGAATTGTTTTGGTGAGCAGCGAGCAACACCCACAACCACAAAATTGCACAAGAAATTGATCGTAAATCTCTTGTTCCAGTAGAAACTTTGATATAAATCACGAAACGGACATACCGTGATCTTGCGTGACTTCGTTCGTGTTATAGAGGGCAAACAACTTCGCATAACCAATTTTGTAATAAACAACTTAAGCATTGTTTAACTTGACTAAACGAATATTCATGAACAAAAAACATAATATAACTATTTTTAGTCAAATTTTATGATGCTTTTAAAATTTAACTATTTATGTAATACGGGAAAATAATTTAAAAGTAAAGCTATTATAATAGCCTCATAAGAACAAAAAATATTAATTAGATCGCAACTAGGCGAGAGAAAACGTTAGCAGAATTTAAATAACTTGTACTACCTGTATATTTGAAACAAAATGAAAATAAAGTTAACCATTCATAACAAACTAATGTAGTTCTGCTTCACGGCCCTATAATACCCACCTCAGCCTTAACCCTTCATGAATAAGACAGACAGTAGCCTGCAACAGGCAGTATAGGATGTGACCTACTTTCTTGGGCAGTGTACGTGTTGTGTTCCTACAAGTGTGGACCGGTCCCCCGGACCAGTGATACATCAGTGTGCCTTGTGTGTGTGTTCATGAAGTTCTGCCTTACTTCCAAGGCAGATCTGTCGTGACGTTAACACTAAGGTTGTGCTTTAACTCCTCGGTAAATGCATGTGTCACACTAATATATCTTACTGGATGTTTAAAGAAGTGTGTGTGTAGGATCTGGGTCAGGCAGGAGTTTGAGAGAGCGGTCGACGCTACAGCCTGCACCCATATGACTCTTGCCTCTCACTCTGCTTGCCTTAAATCCCGTATTACCATGATCTGGTAGTGTTCCATAGTCAACAATTAAATCAATTAAGAATGTCATCACGAAAGCTAATTACACCTGTTTAGGAAGCAATTAATTAAGAAAATTAATGGATTGATAAGTGAACTTTATAAATTGTTAAGTGAACTGTCTCAAATTATTCCGAATATTCATCCTGAAATATGTTAAAAACTTTATAAAATGGTGTATTGATTAAAAACGTATTCTTGCTGAAAACAATAACACCGCCGTTCAGTTTGTGTAAAATAAATATCAGTAAAATACAGACAATTATTAGAAATTGAGCAAATGTACAAATCAAAAGCTAATCTGTTTATTGTGTGTTATTGTAATATATTTCCAAACTGTTCACAATCTTTCACCAGAAACATTAAAAAATTTAAGAAGTCATACATATATCTGCACAATATGTGTACATTTCCTTCTATATGGAGTTGGATGGACTGTTTCATCATTCTAAGGAGGGGCTTGTGTCTGGACATCACAACACAACCTGTCTTCAGGGAGGAGATCGGCTCAAGGAAATAGATTGGGAACGACCACGTAATTGATTATATTATCTACTCTATCCATGAGTAGATTTGGTTAGACTAGATTAGGTTGCATTACGTTTGGTTACTTTAATACAGTGTTTTATTGATGAATATGGAATTCCAAAACTATTTCAGTGTACCCGAAAATTCCGTTTACAGAAAAACCAAATTCTTCAAAGAAAACGTGTTCAGCATACACGTTTTATATTTTAAGCCAACGATTTATAATACATTAAAGTTATAACTTGAGAATAATCTCTGTTTAGGACAAATGTTCACTTGCCAGTTTACAAGTAGACTATTACTGGAACCATAATATGCTTTCAAACTATCACAAATATCTAGCTAACAATCCAGGTGGTTTGAAGTGGAGGGGGGATGTGGTTTCTCATGGTAATGAATTTTCTCTGAGGACGGGCTTCACTTGCATATACCAATTGTTGTATTCCTTCCGAAATTTCGATGTCAGAAATGACGTTCAGAAGAATGTTGAATAGTGCGGGACATACGGGGGGTCCCAAGTTTAATATTCACTGTACTCGAAACTGGTCCGTCGAAGCAGATCTTGGATTTCCTACCTGCGAAACATTCTTCAATATATTTCAGTTTCCCTTGACACCCAAGCATACAAGCTCGTCTAAGACCGCACGATCCAAGTGACAAGATTGTACCTTGTCATAGGCTCCTTTGATGTCAATATAGAGTACTTAGCTTTGTCATTAGCTAAATAATTACAAATATCATTGGATGTGCTCTGTCCTTTAAACAAATAAGTTGACTTCTTACTAAAGTCTACCTATTGTATATGACAGGCAGTTTAAGATGATCCTTTCAAGCATCTTGCATGTGCATGATACGAGACTAATAGGGCTGTAATTACAGGGATATTTGGGTATCAGTATAGTAATTCAACGTAAAACAGCAATATCAATCTATAACAAAATGTTTCTCTGATTATTGTCTGTCCAAAAGCGGGAGGCCAGACGTTTCGGGCTAGCCTCACCCAACTTTGCAGGGAGAATAGCCTCGGGTTTGGAACCAACACTGACGCAGATCGTGGTCAGTCTAATTGGTCCTATTTAAGAGGGGGACGGACCTTATAGTAAGTTGTGTGGGTATCAGTATGTGGACAATTACTGCGTGTTTACATTATGTGGGTAACATTCCGGTTAAATATGATTTATTGAAGAGCTGGAGAAGAGGAATCTCCGATAAATCACATAGTGCACTGAGTAAGGGACTCCATCTTACCAGGTGCAATACTTTTGCCGTTGTTATACTTCCTGGGCAGTGATTGGTTATCCATACTCGTCGTCTTGCTATTCTGATTGGATACTGCAGGAGCTGTTTCCTACTTATTTCTAGACTGAGGGTAATCAGTCCTCCTGTTTACATAGTACTTTTTGTAACTGACCATCGTATATATATTGACATAATGAACAATTAGATAGAATTTGGTACTATTCATTTTATAAAAGCCGGGACAAATTAAGGCTGAAAACCAAACTTAAAATATTCCTTGCTCTAGTATAACACATATATATAAACTATTTTGTTGCTCAGATAGCGTTTATTAGGCCGAAGATGTTTAACTTAGGTTTTATTAGAACAATTACAATACCTTTTCCGGTTTGTCCAAATTCACTAGTATCAAATTCTATATTCTAATTGTCCATTATGTCAATATATGTACGATGATGCACATCGTTACCATAGTACTATATAAACAGAAGGACGGGCTGGTGAGGGAGGAGGAGGATGCTCCTGCATCACTCATCTTGTCTTATTAATTCTTCAGCCTTACCCCTGGGATCTTTGTGTGCAGCAAGCAGGCCGGGTTCTGCTTCCTTTAGTTATCTATATTTTTTGCCTACACTTGTAGACTTTTCTCCTGCAGTAGAGGGTAATTTGAGGCTTTGTAAACTACAAATACTGCACCTAATAAGTAATCACCGTAATATATGAATCTTATAAATAAATGAATCTATTTATAATGAATCTTATAAATAAAATGTTATTAATATTATTATTACTGTTACTACTATTATTATTTAATGTTCTCTTCTGCGGCTACTCTAGACTTTTAATCAACTCTTGGTTTCTTCTAGTGGAATCTCCGACATTCAGATACAAATTATTGTACATTTTATTGAGCATGTTAATATACTCAATTTCACACATGTGACTTTCAGATAGCTGTTAATCTGCTTATTTAGATCAACATTACAATTAATCAATGTCTTCTGAGATGTGGTAGTGGGTGAACCCGCCACTCATCTTGTTTATAAGTATCGGGATCCATATCAGCTCTGAGGATCAGCCATTGTCTTTCAGTTATTTTCCTCTTTCTTGTACTTATGTTGATGATGGTAAGCAGTGCCCAGTGGTCATTGCGGAATTTGTGTACAGTGTGTGTGCTGGCATCGCTATCTTGAACATTTAGCAGGAGTGCAAATTCGAATCTCCCTCCTCTGATGTGTGATGGTTGTCTATCACTATTTTCTCTACACATAGTAGATCGATTATGTGTAGTTTGCTGTTGTTAATGTAGATAGTTCAGTTAATAGAGCGGTGGGCTATATCAGAGTCGGTCTATAAATGAATGAATGCTGATGTAGTGATGTTTATTGAGAATGGTACAGTCAGCATGGGGCTCTTGATGGCTGAGCGCTTTGTGTTGTGGTTTCCAACATCGATCCACGATGATTTGTACAAATATGGAAGTGAAATAGCAACCGCGCATTCATAAATCGTTACTTCTATAGAACATACATAGTATTCATTCATAGACCATAGCCTCTATAGATCGTCATAGCTTTTTACAGATTATAGCATTCGTAGACTATAGCGTCATTTATATATTGTAGCGTATATGGATTATAAAATTGTCTAACTACATTGTGAAGTATTGTGACAGCATTTGGTGCGGGAAACCAAATTATGGCTACTATTCAATATTACATTCATTTTCTTCGACATTCTGGTATCCTAGCTTGTTCAAAACCAGGTGGAAGATAGTTTTACACAAGTTCTTGCTAGTTTTATAGCATTAATCGTTACTAACTATTCTTTGGCACAATATTAAATGTTCTCGAGCTTCTTTGCCTTCGTAAACTTCTCTATAGATGCTTTTTAACCAATTAAATCATCGTCGGGAATCTTACTAGGCTTCATAAATAACTTCACGATTAAGATAACATGAGAATATTGTATTTTGAATATCAGTTATAATTTACCTGAAGGTCGCTATCTCCCCTAGTTGTCTCGACGGGAAGAAGAAGTCGGCGGCTTGTCAAAGGTCCCTTCCAAACCCCATGACCACACAGCAGCACCCTGCGGCAGGGGACTGCACCCTCGGGAGTCGAGTGCCCACCTCTGGGGAGCACCATGACAACGTTAGATTACTGAACTACACGCAGAACAAAATGGGGATCATTATTGAAGAATTGGACAGAGAAAGAGAGAGCGGAGATGAAGGGGAGAAGTTATGTAAGAAGCTTCCTGGTGACGCCATTGAGGACCAGCAGAGGTCGGGCCAGGTGACTGAACCTCGCGTCGCCGACTCCAATTGGACGGTTGCCCTGGGCGCTTTCATTATAATGGTAAGTTAGCGATGTCTCAGTTTTATCGTTAAAGTGATCATGTTATATTGCTTTATTTGTCCTCGTTCCTCTCTAGCCGATGGCTACATAATAAAATAAAATATTATGTATATGTAATGTATTTGGTATTAAAAAATATGTGATATATTGAATAATGAATGTAATACCTGAATATTCAGTAATGTGTATAATATATTTAGTAATATAATCTAAGAATGTATCACAGGGATACATTATTGAAGTGTATTGATACATTGAGAAGTGTATCCCGCTTAACAGTGTATATACATTGAGTTTACTTTAGTCCTGGACTAAAGTATACTATCTTGAGGTTATCTTGAGATGATTTCGGGGCTTAGCGTCCCCGCGGCCCGGTCCTCGACCAGGCCTCCTTGTTGTTACACACCCCCAGGAAGCAGCCCGTAGCAGCTGTCTAACTCCCAGGTACCTATTTACTGCTAGGTAACAGGGGCATCAGGGTGAAAGAAACCTTTTGCCCGTTTATTTCCACCTCCACCCGGAACCTCAGGACTACGAATACGAAGCGCTGTCTACCCAGCTGTCAGGCACCACTATATATAATATATTCATTTTAACAACATATGCAATAGATTAAATATAATAATCTAATTGATATATTAGATATAAAAATGTAAATAATAAATATATCAAATTATATTCACAGTACAATATATATTAGTATGTATTTTGAAGGGCTTCCTCCCTTAGATGATGATTAACATGGTGGGTCCCTGCTTCAGCATCATCTTCTCTCCGTTCCTCTTGGACTTGGGAGCATCGTCAACTACCGTCGGCTGGATATTCAACTCCATGTTGTTGCTGTGGTTTACCTGTGGGGTGTATGTCGGCCCCTTGGTGGAGGAGTACAGCTGGCGAGGCGTGGCCATGGCTTGCTCCGTCACCTTCGCCTGCTCCTTGGCTCTCTCAGCCTTCGCCACCTCGCCCTTGTACCTCTTCTTCTCCTACTCCGTCCTCTGCGGTGAGTCTTGCAATTCGACTAGTTTAGGTTTTCAGTCATTAGTTTTAATCAAGTTTTCTTTGATAGCAGACTTCAAATCTCAGCGATTTGAAATGCTTGAGCTCAAGCTACTAATGAGGTACACTTTATATGAGGGAATATTTGGAACACATTCTTCATCAATCATGGCGGCTCGCTTAATTTGTATTTATTGGAGCGTTTAAGAAGTTCGTAATGCTAAGACGTTGTCCATAATAATAAAAACTTTCAGTTGCGAGGCTTCAACAAGGCTCGTTAACTGTAACACAAACTAAGATATACAGGTTTAGTAAGTGGACACGTAAATTATTAATGACCTGCAGAACCCTACAAGCCCGAACAAACCACTTAGCTTATCGAGGCAGAGGGATAGAACGCTTTAAATTTTACTAATATGTCTCATTTTTAACAGATTGGTCGATTCCGTTAACAAAAATGGATGTAAAAGGTGTTAGTATGACTGTCAAATGTCGTCAGCCGAGCTCAGTTTTAGCGGCTTTGTTACCACGGTCAATACACACATGCAGCTCAGTGCACGAGTGCACAATTTAAATTTGTTCGTCATTACTATACATCCTTTACTAAGTATATATGAAAATTTAATAGGCCAAGAATTTTGTTCTTAATACTTCGGGTAAAATATGGCCAAAATTCATAGTGCCTATAAAATTATAATTGTGATCTTTTCTGGTGTGTCAGAATTTATCAAAAGTATGTAATCGTTTCAAAATGAATTGATAAAACTTCTTAAGTAATGAAATATTGATAACTTAATGATACACTGAACTATATAATCTATAGAACTATATAATCTACTGTATAGTTTTATGTTGAATGCATCTTGCAGGGATTAGCGGAGGTTTGCTGAACACCCTGGGGTTCCTCATCGTACCGCACTACTGCACGCGTCACAGGGGAGTGGCCAATGCCTGCATGACGGCTGGCGCCTGCATGGGACAGATGTTAGGTCCTCTTCTCATTGGGTTCCTGCAAGACGAGTTTGGTTTCTTTGGCGCCACGTTCATCTTGGGCGCTATCATGCTTCACTGCTGCGTTGGTGCCTCATTTTTCCGTCCACTTCAGGGCCAAACAAGAACCTCGGAGAAACCTGACCACCTTGAAGCAGATGCCGCTGAGACTGCGGAGAATAAGAGTACGTGTAGTTTCTCGAACAATGCCTTCCTACGCGTACTTTACAAAAGTGCGTCGAATCTCTCCGTACTGAAGTCCCCGCCAGCGGCCATCATTGCTATAGGAGGAGTATTCATGCTAAATAGTTATTTGAACTTCATGGCTCTTATGCCATTCGCGATGCTGGCGGCAGGTCACTCCATCCACACAGCCAGCTTATACCTAACAGTTTCGGCAGTATGTAATCTGATGGCTCGCCTTACTGTGTCCGTGCTGTCCGACTGGTCAAAGTTCAGCATGCGGGGGTGTTGCATGACCAGCGTTGCAGCCACCGTTGTTTCCACTCTCGGTGAGTATACTGTATCCTAGTTGAACTTTTTTCTTTTGCTTAGCTGTTGCACGTATTTTATGTGAAGAAAATGCATTCTCATTATAAATTCAACTGATGGTTATATCTTAAGTGCAAACGCGATATACGTCATGCCCATGGAATGTTGAGTTATTGTTCAGTGTAATATTGTTATCCATTTCAAATAGTTATTTCTGATAAAATAATTGAAATTGTTTAATTTAAGCCACTTTAAGAGTTCTTAAAACTACTTTTCCTGGACGTTCTCCACACATCCCTTTCTCGCGGCACTGATAAAACTTTGGGTTACAGTACTTGGCTTAAAAGTCTGACAGTGACCTTGATGACACGTATGGTGACATGCACGGTCGTTCTTACGCTCCTCTAACATTTTTGGTACAATTTTTTTTCATAAAGTGTAAACAGGTTTTGGCGATGGACATTAGTTTATCAACCTCGGGGGTGGAGGAAGGGAGTGTACGTGGAGAGACTAATTCCCGCCAAACACACACCGAAACTACGACGTTGGTACAACGTTCGAACAAGTTTTAACACCTAACCAGTTATAACAACCAATATAGCAAGTTGTAACAACGTTCTAATACGTCATAAACACGTTAAGCCAAGATGTAACAACTTTATTACAAGTTGTAACAAGCGGAAAATAGAGACAGTTTCGGTTTGTGTTTCCATGGTTAAGACCACCACAAGAGCTAAGCGACCAACCATAAAACAAAAGTTTAGTCCTGAATATTGGTCAGGATTAAAGTTCACTAAGTGTTTATACACTGGAAAGTGCTGTTCACACACACACACTGAAAAGGTGCAAAGACATGCAACTAAATGGCTCCCAGAACTGAAGGACAAGAGCTACGAGGAGAGGCTAGAGGCATTAAATATCCCAAGATAGACGAAAAAGAGGCGATATGATCACTACGTACAAAATAGTAACGGGAATCAATAAAATTGATAGGGAAGAATTCCTAAGACATGGAACTTCAAGAACAAGAGATCATAGATTTAAACCAAGTAAACAATACTGCCGAAGGAATATAAGAAAATTCACTTTCGCAAACAGAGTGGTAGACGGTTGAAATAAGTTAGGTGAGAAGGTGGTGGAGGCCAAAACCGTCAGTACAGTAATTTCAAAGCGTTATATGACAAAGTGCTGGGAAGACGGGACACCACGAGCGTAGCTCTCATCCTGTAACTACACTTAGGTAATTACACACACACATTCTTGAATTCTTGACATTCTTCAACAATCAGAGAGAAAGACCTGGGGTGTCGATATCACGCCAGACCTGTCTCCTGAAGCCCATATCAAGAGGACAACATCAGCGGCATATGCCAGTTTGGCCAACATAAGAATGACCTTTAGAAACTTGTGTAAGGAATCATTCAGAACTTTGTATACACATATGTCAGACCAAACCTGGAGTATGCAGCTCCAGCATGGAGTCCATATCTCGTCAAGTACAAGACTAAACTGGAGAAAGTTCAAAGGTTTGCCACCAGACTAGTACCCGAACTGAGGGGTATGAGCTACGAGGAGAAATGCACTGTATCTTTTGTTAATTATTATAGTCTTTCATATATTGATTTAATTAAATGGTTATCATACATCTGGAATTATTAATGTTAGTATTTGTTCCATATGTAATTTTACGAACCTGAATATTACTGTGGTTATCTTGAGGTTATCTTGAGATGATTTCGGGGCTTTTTAGTGTCCCCGCGGCCCGGTCCTCGACCAGGCCTCCACCCCCAGGAAGCAGCCCGTGACAGCTGACTAACACCCAGGTACCTATTTTACTGCTAGGTAACAGGGGCATAGGGTGAAAGAAACTCTGCCCATTGTTTCTCGCCGGCGCCTGGGATCGAACCCAGGACCACAGGATCACAAGTCCAGCGTGCTGTCCGCTCGGCCGACCGGCTCCTTATTGGTGTGGTGTAAATGCTGTGGTGTAAATTACTCACCTAATTTAACTATTCGTTGGAATTTCCCACGCTGTTATTCTGAAATTCAGAATTCATCTCTAGAGAAAATTTATTAACACAGTATATTATTACATTTCGTGGAACTCTAATCTGTGTTCGATTTTAAAGCAAAACTTTTAACCTAATGTGTTAATTAACAGGCTGTCTGGATGGTAAACAGTTGCTTCTCATGACTAGTATACTACTTTCCCCACCTTCCCTTCAATACACCATTTTTCCTTCATCACTGTAACCATCTTTACACACTGTTTTTCATCAATAAATAACTATACGAGACAAATAAAGTATTAAATCTTGTAGAAAATAATATGCTGGATAAATCTTAGTGAAGATGGAGGCTGGTATTTATCTAAGATAGGAAATTGGCATCATTTTCTATTGCACACAAAAGGAGATGGTATAGGGTTGACCCCCAACCCACCTGTGACCATCCTTCAGTCACCCTGCAAAATTTGTCAAGGCTAGCTCCAAGTAACTTCAACCTCAAAGATTTTCTTGTATACAGGCAACATTGAACTCTATTATTGAAAAAAATTGAAGTCTAAATTTTGAGTAAATTGACAGGATGGCTGTGTGGTAAATAAAACTGTTACTTATTATAGCATATTTGCAGCCTTCAGTGTGGTGGCAGAGGCGAGATGGCGGACATTTATCATGGGGGTGTGGGGGTGCGGCGTGGGCGGCTACATGGGACTGTTTAACCTCATCATTGTTCACTACATGGGCCTCGACAAGCTAGCCTCCACCATGGGCACCACACTCTTGTTGGTTGGTTGTGGCTTCATTACCATCGGCCCCTGCATAGGTAACGTAGTCCCAATATAAAAAATGGGAGCATGCAGAAAATACTAAATTATAGACTACTGTCACTAAAATATTGTGTGTAAAGTGCTGGAGGAAGTATTTAGGTTAAGAATAATCACTTGGAGAGGATAAGATCTGTAACAGTAGAGCAGCATTGATTTAGAAGGAAAAAGTCATTCCTGACAAACCTGACCTAGTTCTTTGCAAGATTACTAAAATAAGACAGGATAATAAAGCCTGGGGGATAGCAGCTTCCTAGATTGTCAAAAGTTCTTTAATATTGTTCCTCATGAAAAGCAATTGTATAAGATGGAGAAACAAGTTGGGATAACTCGGAAGACAATAAACTAGGCAAGGAAGAACCTGAAGGACAAAAATTAATGACACGTCTTAGTAGAGATGTTAAGCTGGAAGGTTAAGGGAACTAACAGGATAAAGCACCAAGCCATTGCGATCATTTAGCATTTGGAAAGGATAAGGAGCTGGGATGAGACAGGGAAAAGGAATGATATCCAACCACCGGGAAAGGAGACCATTGCTCTACCGTCCAGTCACTTGGACCAGACGGTAGAGCAACGGTCACTGCTTTGATAACAATTTTCAGATATTGGAATAGCATGAAAATTTCTTTCTAGCTTGGGTAGGGCATTTATATCCAAGATAGTGGGTCATAAATATTAGTATGTGCATTAGTGGCTTTATATGACTGTACTGTACATCCTTATCATCAAAATTTGTAAAATGGAACCTACTGTACTTTCCTGTAAGAAAATAAAATAATTACAGTAGTTGCAATTATGCAACAGTTAGAAAAAGTAGAGTTCTAGATCTTAATTTCTACTAGTCGCTCTATCATTTGCCATTACACCTTCCTATCACAGGAGTGATCCGAGATGTCAGTGGAAGCTACGCTGTCAGCATGTGGGTGTTGGCTGGGCTGGCCAGCACCTGCTTCACCCTCTGGATCTTCATGCCAGCTGCCACTCGCTACCATCACAAGTCTCTTAAGACATCACCATAACATCTTGCAGTCACTCTTGGCCTGCTCAAGCAAGTTGTTGCATTTACATAAATTTTTCATGAATATTGGTCAGGAACCAGCAAATTAGATGCACACAACAATACACACTGCAAGCAATGTGTGTGTGCATGTGCATTCGTGGTAGAAGCATTTCATAAAGCAATAACATCTGTACTGTGTATGCATTACCCCAAAAAAACTGCCTGAATTTTGTATGTTGATATTTTTTGTTCTATTTTGTCAATTCTAAGATTGTTTTATAAATATACAAATTTGTAGTGCACCTGATCCTGTTTTTTAATATTTACTTCTAATATGTTACTACATACAATCTCAGGGCTATATGCAACATGTACTGGCTTATCATTTTTCATTTGATAATTTTACCAATACAATACTCACTTGCATAGTCGTGTGTCTTTTATTTCACTGATGAAATTATAAATACAGTGTGACATATTCAGCACAAACAATACCTTTGGGAAAAAGACAGTATCAAGAAAAAATATGAAAATTTTGGTAAATTATTAATTGGCAAAAAAAAAACAAAAAAAAAAGGAAGCTGCAATGTTTATCAAGAATTTGGCCCCAAGTGAATAGAAACATTTACCAAAACTTTGCAAGAAGAATGAAGCAAAAAGAGCAACTAGATTGGAACACTAACCTAGAACCCTAAGAAAATTCCAGAGAACCTAAGAACTTTGGACAAATTTGTTTGTACCAATAAGCATTCCGGGCTAAGATGAGAGGAATGTGAATGTTATCCTCTGAAGGAGGAAGCAGACATCAAAGGCAATGCCACTGGCCTAGTCTATGGCACCATAGGACCCCCCTTTCTCGACAGGAAGTCTGCGAACCCTAAACAACCAGCGCCCAAGGCACCACCACATAGGGGCATATAAATACACCACAAAAACACCTGGTTCTACATATAAAAAGCAGCACCAGCAACTGCAAGAGCATACAAAGAGCCAAAGCTCAACCCCACAAGCACAAATAGGCAAGTACAAAAATGCAGCAAAAATCCACCACTGCCAATTTATGGAATACAGTATATTACCAGATATCATAACAGAGGTTGGATCAGTGGATTGTTTCAAGAATAGATTACACAAAGTAGCTTGGGTGGATATAAATATGAACTGTCTAATATGGGTCAATAAGACTTCTACCATTTCCATTGTTTTTTCCTTCTTTTTTTTTAAACACAGAATAACATCTAAACTACATGCCATAAATATTAATGTTTATTCTGACAATAAAACGTGCCATACACAGAGTAATCACACTAATGTAATGTGTCAATGAAAAAATCCGTAGGAGCCGTGATGAGGGTTCGAACCTATGCGGTAGGTGTTCCCATGTGGAAACGTGGAAACTTGCCATGTTCCTACATTTTCAGTGTTTATAGTGAGAACAAGATATCATAACTTTTTATCCGACTTAAGTGTTCAGTCACACAATTCCAAACTCTACCCGTTTAATGGTTACAAGATCATGTATTAAAGAGAAAAATTTAAGCTAAAGATTTTCAAGTCAAAGGATAAAACACATGAATATTATATATTTCCAAGTTTATTGGAAGATCCACAAATCTGTTGAATCAATCAATAACTCTATTGCTTAAAAAGAAGTAACTGAGCTTGACAAAAAATCACATTTCTTATCAGGCTCACATTTCATGTACATCCAACTCTTTCCACACATCAATTGTAGTTAAGACTTACAAGGTTAAGCTGGCATTATATGCTTATAAAATATTTGAACAGCAAAAAATTGTACTTACAAGTACATTCACATGTGAAACTTGTATCAGTGCGTGGTAACTAAGACTACACACACAACTTTGAACGAGTAAGAGCAACAACACCACTGCAACATCCTTAACCGTTTCATTGTAAACAAAAAAAATTCAAGCTTGTTATGATAATTTTTGGCAGATTTTTTGTTCAGTCTTAAATCCTTCAAATAAAACAATTACCTTCTGAAATCCATGTAAAACAGAACAATATACTGAAGTGAAACAGTTTAATAAGTGAATGGTGTAACAGGATCTGAATAATATCAGTAATTATGTATCTTTTAAAAGTAATGGGCATTTTAAAGTGCAACAATAACAAAAATAAAATATATATATACATAATATAAGAATTATTTAATTCAAATTTATATGTAGCAAAACAATTCTCGGGCCTTTGTGATGACACTGGATATACAACTATCATGCTGTGGCAAAAGATGTAATCTAAGGTTTCGTTTGTTACACCATAATGATATACTGTAAATATATCTTTGATGACTTGCTCAATGAAAATTATCAAATTTTTCCCCTAATAACCACAATTTCTGAACTATCAAAATGAGCATAGCACAACAGTATATTACAAAACAATCATTTCAAGCTTAAACTTGCCATAAACTACAAAGTCATAACTATGCTATGATCATTCGTGACAATCCGTAGAAGACAATCGGCATACACAAACACAATAGTAAATATTCTGGTTGGTACTACTGTATAAATATTTTACAAAACATTATTACAAAAATTAATGTCAATTTATATCTAAATACTGTATAGCCAATGTAGCCTTCTAATTTGCATTCTCATAATGTATAAAATAAAATCCTATATTTCTTCTATTTTGGATACCAAAATATACTTAAGAACATAGAATTATTTCTCAAATTTGGAAAGTCAACAAGTTATCATACTATAAACCTTTGTAAAAACATCAACCAATGGCGTACCATCCAGACTTACCATTATGTTCCCTTCCACTAACATTCCAAACATTATTTCATGGGGTGACCCATGCTAGCTCGGGCTGTGCAACAATGGTGCCCTGGGTCACATGACCTTTCTCCACCTGACTTTATACCACACAAGTACCAACAACAACATACGTCAATGCCAATTACAGTATTTTTGTCACACTTAAACCTCCCAAGTGTTGGGGTAAGTTTTTCTTCAAGCACATTCGACTTCTTAAATATGACTTAATGAGGCAGTTCCATCACTTGTGACCAGTGGCTGCTCAATCTGGCCTGGTAATGGTTAAGATATATAACTGGTTTTGCCTTTATTGTATGGACATTCCCTTACCACATGAATGACTTATTGAAAGAATGGAAGAAAGAAATTCAATACACCCAGCCATCATTTGAACCCCCAGATGATCTTAGGCCTCATAACCTGATTAATCTCGAGCACCATGCAAACGAGCATCTTAGAACACATGGTTCAACGAGCCCAAATCTGTGTTTGAAACCAATCATTTCCCAATTTACATAGATGTGCATCAATACACATCTTTTCCACCATATTTAACTCCTACAACATAGCATCCTATGTAGTGCCCTCTTAATATACTGTAGTATATTAATGTATCCACTGTTCACATTGCCCTTCCAGTTATATCTGAATTGTTATTTTATACTAGATGTGGGTTATCATCCAACCCATACCTAGACTTACTTGGAAATCTAGGAAATGTTATTAGTCGAATAACTTCCAAGGGACATCACCAAAATGCCGTGTGCATTTAAAACTTTTCCAATGCTAATGTTTTTCATTCCATATCTTTACATCTACCATCGCCCAACATATGGTTATACACTTAACTAAACTCTCTCGTTACTATTAGAATATCACAATGTACAAATGAACCCCACTTGACCTTAGCTTATCAACCAATGAATGAGATTATGGCCATGAAGTTCATTAACACGCTGCAGTAGCCAGCAATTATGGTGGCAAGTCCCCGAGGAGTCCTTGCTGTTGTAGCTGGGCACGTACAAGGGCATTTTCATTTTTCAGAGCAGCGTTTTCATTTTTCAGTACTTCCACCTCTTGTTTGAGCAGTTCAAAATCCATCTCTCGCCGATGTGTTTCCTTTATTCTCTCTGTCAACTGTTCATTATGGACTCTGAGTTCGGAGATGTAGTCACAGGCTTTAGCCAAGATTCCACCTTTACTCTGCTGAAAAAATTTAAATTCAGGATATTTTGTTCAGAATGATAATGAAGAGTAAGAAGCAGACGATTTTGGATAGAAATTTAGAGTTAAATAAAAATAATTTTACTAAAAGAAAGCAAGATGCAGAGAAAATACTGGCCTTATAAAATAAAAAATGCATGAATAAGACTTGTGTAAATGTGCTGCAACACTGAAATGTGGAGAACGAATATTTTACATATATGGTATTAAATATCACAAGAAGCATCAAAAAATGTAAATGACAATGAGAGAAGGAATAGGGAAGATAGCAATTCAGTACTGTATTAATACTGTACCCAAAAATATCAAACTTGTTATATTAATTAAGACTTAAATAACAATTAAATTACCCAGGCCACAACAGCAAAAGCAAACTGTTAACACTGGGCACAGGCAGGGTGGGTGACACAGAATGCACATGCAACACAAAATTAAAAATAAAACCAAACATTGGCCCTCCATCCACATGGAACAACTGATCCAGTGACCAACACCACGTATCTGGATTTCTGGTGGGCTTTCATCTCTGCTCTATGCTGATCTTGGAACACTAGGCTTCCTTTGCCTCCTTGAGCAGGACAGATTCTGGTCCTAGTCCCAACTGGGCCCCCACGAGTCAGTTCAGGAATGTTTCCAAAGGATTGCTGTATCTTGGGAACCTACTGAGTGCCCACTAGAAAGAGGAGTGTCAGACCAGACTTCTGAATGGGCTGGTTGCCTGCCAGCACCCAGGTCACCACCTGAACTACCATTTGGTGGCAGGCAATCTTATCTAGGTCATGATTTCACAGTGGTAATGACAGCTTGCATTTATTTCACCAAGCATTTTAGTTTTCTGGTGATATTTTCTAGGATATATTGTGATCTCCGATACCAAGGTTTCTCTTCACACCAGTGAACAGGCCAGATTCTGGTTCTGGTCTCCAGTATGTGCTTTCTGAGAGTTCCAGACTTGTTTACTACCAGGTTCTAGCATTGGTGAGCTACTGAGAGGGCCCTCCTAGAAAAATTACTATTTAATATTAACACTAATGAGTAAAATACATGACATTAATTTAAATTTAACAATTTAAACATACAGTGGCCCCTACGTTTGTAAATTTAATCTGTTCCCCAATGACAATTCGTAACCCAAAACTTTGCAACACGAAACAAATTTTCCCATAAGAAACAATGTAAATTGAATTAATCCGTTCTACACTCCCAAAAATATTAACTTCAAACTACATTTCATACCAAATGAACACAAATATTTAGTACTTTATCATGTACAAGTTATAGCTTACCTTTATTGATGACTCTTTTTGGCGTATGGAAGACTGTGAGGAGGAGGGGAAGGGGGGGGGAGGAGAGGTGTTAAGTGTTTGGAAGGGGAGTCTCCTTTCATTATAATATCAGGCAATGATGACTTCTCTGGGGCTCGCTGCTTGTTTTTCTCATAAACTTTTCCAGTGAGACTTTTTTTTCCCCTACATTGTAACAATTGTTACAATGCCCACATTGTCTGTAGTGAGGCATCACAGTGCCATCAAAATGGTTAATTAAGGCAACGGCCTACACTCGCCCACAGCTTGCTGTGGGCGAGTCGTTTCAACAAAAGTTTGGATTTCTTTCCACCATCTACACCACTCCTTAATTGCTGGGGAAGGGACACACTGTACTACTACCTTCTCCCCTGAAGAAATTTCCTCAGCTGCCTCTTGTTACTGCTTGTGAAAGGCTAGGAGTTCTTCGGTGGTCTGTTCTTCGCTTGTGTTCCTCCACCAACTCACAACACTGAATGCGATTTCTTTTTCTAAATTTCTCAAACCATCCCCCACTCGCCTTAAACTCTTTCATATCAGCCCGCCTGCTTTCATACCTCTCACTGTATTTCCCACTTCTATACTTTCCTTCACCTATGCCTCTCCTCCCTCTTTACTCCCCCCCCCCCAAAAAAGCATCACTCATTACGAGGTTTTTTCTTTATTAGATCTTCATGCAATAGTCTTGCTTTTTCACAAATGATGTCCTCTGAAATGCTATTTACCTGCTAACTCCTTGTAGTGTATCCAAATTAATAACTTTTCAACATCAAGTGTTTGTTCTTTGTTTTGTGATTGTTGATGCATCTTTTGCCACTTTAGCACTATGTCCTTTTTCTTAGCAATTACAGTGTATATCGTTGACACAGATTTTTGTAGCCGTGTACCATTTTCATGTTTACGAATGATCTCTTGCGTTTCCAATATGATGATCTTCACATGTGTTTTCTTAGATTGAACCTTACCACTGACTTTCTTGGGACCCATGGCATGATGTATAATAATTACTTTTATGTTCAAAACTCAAAAAGAGCAGAAAAAAACATTCTTTACAAAGAATTCAACCGCAATCGTCACCAAGTGGGAAGCACTGGTAAACTGAGGAGCGGGCGACCGTGTCACCAAGAACCACTCGCTAGATCACCCATACGCGTATCAACAAACTATGCAACTCGAGGCAAAGCTTGTAACCCGATACAAATTTTTACAAAGAAATTGGGTTCGTAACCCGAAAATTTTGTAAAGAAGGGAGCCGGTCGGCCGAGCGGACAACACGCTGGACTTGTGATCCTGTGGTCCTGGGTTCGATCCCAGGCGCCGGCGAGAAACAATGGGCAGAGTTTCTTTCACCCTATGCTCCTGTTACCTAGCAGTAAAATAGGTACCTGGGTGTTAGTCAGCTGTCACGGGCTGCTTCCTGGGGGTGGAGGCCTGGTCAAGGACCGGGCCGCGGGGACACTAAAAAAGCCCCGAAATCATCTCAAGATAACCTCAAGATAAGAGGAAGGGCATTCATAAGCTGAGGTGTCACTGTATATTACTTATCAGCACTTTTTGTCAACATAGCACAAAGAGACAGTAATGAGGGAGAACAGTGTCTGGGAGAAAGGTGTTGACATTATTAAAGAGAGTTACTCTTAATACAAGAATCAACAAAAAAAACCTGAGCACCTGAGAAAAAACAATGTACAGTACAATATGTACCTAGATTTATTAGTAAATGGATATGAGATGAGAACAGTTTTTTGTAGTCAGATTGATGATATAAAGTTGTTTTGAAAGGATAAGCACTAAGTACTGTACATAAAAATATTGGTAGGTATAGGGAAGACAATACGAGGTGTAGTGTCATGATCAAGTTTAAAAGTCATTATTTTTAGGTCAAGTATTACGAGTGCAACTGGTAGAATAGTACGACTGCAGCTGCATTCCGAGTTGCAGTGTATGACTGCAACTGCATTCCGAGTTGAATGGTATGAATTGATACTTCTGATAGTCATGTGGCTGGCATATCAAAACCCACAACAGGCATCCAGCGTTGACCAAAATGCTTCAAGATGCCATATCAGTCTCGTGATCAACAGACAACACTATTTACTATATGTCACGTTCAGAGCAAATGATATCTGTTTGCATGCTGCTGTTTCATAGACCAACTAGTTAAACAGAGAGCAAGATTCCACCCCCACACTTGGTCAACTGCTAGCCATGTACCCGAATAAGTACCTGAAAAGTAAATAACCAAGAAAAGGCTTTTATATCTGTTATGATCTCAGCCTGCAGGAGAAACGAGTCTCCCTCCTTGAGAGTTATTCATCAAGCCTGACCTGATTAGAAGGTCTAGCAAATATTGAGGTGATAACACATATGTAAAATAGTTGCTTGGATATAAATAACAATTTGAGATTATGGGCAATGAAGAAGAAAACAGATGACTGGCTAGGAGATGTGGACATTTTGCTGGAGGCGTGAGGCTCGCTTCTGGAGGGCTTTGACTCACTTGAGGCCAGACATCGCAGGGGAAAAGCCGCGTTCCGTTGAGCTCCCGTCAGAAGGGAACCCCTAGTGATATATCTCGAAGAGAAGAGAAGTGTGCAGACGTACCAGCTGTGGAATCGAGCTGGGGACATGTGGTCTCAAGTCGTGGGCTACGAGGAGTGTTTATTAAACCACCCAGAGGCATTATCGTGGGCCGTGGCAGTGCCCTGACCAAGCTTCGTCAGAGGGAGGAGCGCCCTCGACCAGACAATCTGTGGTAAGCACGATATACGCCAGTTCATAGTGATTGCTTGTAGTTGGTCGTGTGCCCAGCGACAGTAGCAATGCTTATTGATAAGTTAGACATGTTTTAATAAGGCAGAAAGCCTGAAATAAGAGAGTGGAGAGAGAGGAACATGGAGCGACATCCGTCTCCTCTGAGCGCTGGCAGGTAACTGAGGGAGCCCGGCTCCTGACGGCGAAGGACCCTCCCAGTGTGACTCACACCCGCCAGGCGAGGTGGAGTATGGACCCGCCCAAAACGGGGGAGTCCACTCTCACTGTATGTAGAGGACAGATAGAGGTTGGAGGCAAACATATTGTGTGATTATTTTTGTTTATGTGTTAAAGGGGAAACAATTTTATTGGAGTGTCGATGGGTTGCAGGTTTGTCTTTGGGGAAGAAGTTGTTGAGAACTTCGAAGCCAGCCCAGATGAAGTAATTGATGAGACTCCAAGGTAGTGGAGGAGAGGATCTCAAGCTGTGAGGAGAAGCAGTGAAGAGGAGTGTCACGTGCTTCTGTAGAGGTGGAAAAGCACCATAGTTGCTCGAGGAAACTTCATGGTGTAGCAGCCAGGAGAGCTGTGGAAGACCCTAGCAGAAGGGTGAAGCACCGTAGTTGCTCAAGGAAACTACATGGTGTAGCAGCCTGGAGGAGCTGCAGAGGATCCTGGTAGTGAAGCCCGGAAGAACCTAAAGATATCAGGGTAGTGAACTTCCAGAGGTGGAAGGGAAGTTCTGGTGGATTACTTGTAGGGAGTTGATAGTGTTTGGTTGTCATTAGCGTGCAAGACGCAGTGAGAGGTGAGTGATTGTTGGCATTCTTATGTCAAGGAGTGTTTTATACTGAAGTTTAGAGTTACAGTCGTAGGCTGGATTACCTACAAATGTATGTGTTCTAGGACTGATAGAGTGATCGA